ATTTCGAATTTTTGCCTTTGTCGCTAGGCGGGCGGGGTAAGATGGTCGTATGTTGGGAGGTGAAAGTTGTTTCTAGGGCAGTTTGAGGTGCTGATTACGGGGCAAATCTCGAAAATCCGAAAAATTTGAAGTCCGAGCCCTGAGGGCCGATTTTTTCAAAAAATCCCGAAAAATAATTTTCCACGGAAAACGCCGGACTTCTGAGGCGTTTCCAGAAGCTGAAAAAATTCAGTAGATAGTCTGAGTGATCCCCGAGGGTAAGACAGGGCCCGATTTTTGAATTTCGATCTAGTTTTCCCGGAAAAAATTCCGGAAAATTGGGCCTTTTTTGGGAAATTTCGGAAAATCTCGAATAGCTAAAATACGAAATACGATAGCAATATACGAAAGGTGGTTCTAGAGTAAGTCAGGCATGCTGAATCAGAATCCGTTGTCAAAATCCAGAAATTCCGTCATCTTGATGGTGAAATCTGGAAAAAAGCGAAAAATGCCGAAAATCGCTTATAACTTTCGACCGGTCGATAATTGTAAATTGTAAGTGGGCTTCAGAAGTCTTAGAATTTTGCGTAGAATACGATTCAATCAAAAAATTCCCGCTAATTCCACCCATAGGTCAGAAACCCTCAGGGCATATATGACAAAATTTCGAAAATCCGCGAAGTTCCGTCACAGATAGTTGATGAACATGATGCAAAGAGCTCGGAAACGTTTCTCTGTAAGAAAAAAGTTACAGGCGATCTAAGGTCAAAAAATTTCATTTTCAACAGGGCGCAGCTCGCGGGAAAAGCAAAATTTCCACTAAGCGCTGATGCCAAAAGTCTTAGAAGTTTGTGTAGCAACTTCACTAAAAATTTTTTCCCGATATCTCAACGTTGAATAGTTTTCAGTTTAGTTTTTTAGGGTATCTTTCGACAAGCCCCCGCTTCGCGGGGCCTTGACGTCGCTGTGCGCGCAAAGGTTGCCCCTGCACAGTGTCGCTGATCGCGCACTACCTCTGGAGTCGCTGGCCACGCTTCGCGCGGCCAGAAAAACGCGCTAACGCGCGTTCTACTTACTCAAGCCCGCGAGAAAGACATGCTCCGCTCCGACCCGGAGCAAATATTTCGAATCAAAATCACTCACCCCAGCCAACCCTAATTTACTCCGCCCCCTTGAAATGGGGAACTCCGCTTCCTTTCTCCGACTTCTCATCCGGTCTCTCGCTCTCCGCTCTCTCTCGAAATTCGAACTTGCGTAAAAGCAAAGGAATTTCCCTCCCTCGCTCTCCGCTCTCTCTCGAAATCCAAACTTGCGTAAAAGCAAAGGAATTTCCCTCTCTGGGCTGTCTCGCACAAAAAAATACAAAGTCCACCGCTGTTGGGGACGACTCGGCTCGGCCTCCGGCCTCGCCGAGTCGTATTTTAGGAAATGAAAGTGGTTTCTGGACCGGTTTTTCACGCTGAACACGATGGTCCAAGTCTCGATTCACGAAATTTGAATTTAGCGGCCGTGAGGCTGATTTTCGGCCGAAACGCCCACTTTTGGTCGAAATTTGGCCAGTGCTCGCTGAATTCGAAAGCGATTGGGCTGAAATTTGGCACGATTGAAGCTTGTGGAATTTGTCGAAAATTGACCCGAGCCGAATTTTGAATTTTACACTTTTGCCCTCGGGGCGTATTTAGTTCGCTGAAAAAATTTAATTTTGGTCTGGACGGTCGTATTTTAGGAAAAGTTGGAGTTGCGCACATGAATATTACCCAAAATTTGATTCTGCGTCGATTGGTACCAAGATCGTGTCGATAGCTCCACTGGCAGCCGAGTTCTGGAAGGGCGGATCCAGAAAATTTCGAATTTTTGCCTTTGTCGCTAGGCGGGCGGGGTAAGATGGTCGTATGTTGGGAAGTGAAAGTTGTTTCTAGGGCAGTTTGACGTGATGATTACGGGGCTTATCTCGAAAATCCGAAAAATTTGAAGTCTGAGCCCTGAGGGCGGATTTTGTGCAAAAAATCCCGAAAATTTTGCGCCGGTCAAAACGCCGGACCGGAACGTCGGATTCAGAAGCTGAAAAAAATGTAGTAGACACTACTATGTAGCCCGAAGACCTACACGACGCCCGATTTTTGAATTTCGATCTAGTTTTCCTGAAAAAAATTCCGGAAAATTAGGACTTTTTTCGGAAATTTCGGAAAATCTCGAATAGCTAAAATACGAAATACGACACAGTAACGCAATACATGGTTCTAGGGTATATCAGGCATGCTGAATCAGAATCCGTTGTCAAAATCCAGAAATTCCGTCATCTTGATGGTGAAATCTGGAAAAATCCGAAAAATGCCGAAAATCGCTTATAACTTTCGACCGGTCGATAATTGTAAATTATAAGTTGGGTTCAGAAGTCTTAGAATTTCGTGCTGAATACGATGGAATCAAAAAATTCCCGCTAATTCCACCCATAGGTCAGAAACCCTCAGGGCATATATGACAAAATTTCGAAAAAACGCAAAGTTCCGTCACGAACAGTTGATGAACATCATGTAAAAAGCTCGGAAACTTTTCTCTGTAAGAAAAAAGTTACAGGCGATCAAAAGTCAAAAAATTTCATTTTCAACAGGGCGCAGCTCGCGCGAAACGAAAAATTTCAACTATCCGCTAATGCCAAAAGTCTTAGAATTTTGTGTAGCAACTTCACTAAAAATTTTTTCCCGATACCTCAACGTTGAATAGTTTTCAGTTTAGTTTCTTAGGGTATCTTTCGACAAGCCCCCGCTTCGCGGGGCCTTGACGTCGCTGTGCGCGCAAAGGTTGCCCATCTTGAAGGTTGTTGATCGCGCACTACCTCTGGAGTCGCTGGCCCCGCTTCGCGCGGCCAGAAAAACGCGCTAACGCGCGTTCTACTTACTCAAGCCCGCGAAAAAGACATGCTCCGCTCCGACCCGGAGCAAATATTTCGAATCGCAATCACTCACCCCAGCCAACCCTAATTTACCCCGCCCCCTTGGAATGGGGAATTCCGCTTTATTTCTCCGTCTTCTCTTCCGGTCTCTCGCTCTCCGCTCTCTCTCGAAATTCAAACTTGCGTAAAAGCAAAGGAATTTCCCTCTCTCGGCTCGGCCTCGCACAAAGAAATCCAAAGTTGCGTAAAAGCAAAGGAATTTCCCTCTCTCGCTCTCCGCTCTCTCTCGAAATTCGAACTTGCGTAAAAGCAAAGGAATTTCCCTCTCTCGGCTCGGTCTCGCACAAAAAAATACAAAGTCCACCGCTGTTGGAGACGACTCGGCTCGGCCTCCGGCCTCGCCGAGTCGTATTTTAGGAAATGAAAGTGGTTTCTGGACCGGTTTTTCACGCTGAACACGATGGTCCAAGTCTCGATTCACGAAATTTAAATTTAGCGGCCGCAGGGCAAATTTTCGGCCGAACCGCCCAATTTTGGCCGAAATTTGGCCAGTGCTCACTGAATTCGAAAGCGATTTGGCTGAAATTTGGCACGATTGAAGCTTGTGGAATTTGTCGAAAATTGACCCGAGCCGAATTTTGAATTTTACACTTTTGCCCTCGGGGCGTATTTAGTTCGCTGAAAAAATTTAATTTTGATCTGGACGGTCGTATTTTAGGAAAAGTTGGAGTTTCGCACATGAATATTACCCAAAATTTGATTCTGCGTCGATTGGTACCAAAATCGTGTCGATAGCTCCACTGGCAGCCGAGTTCTGGAAGGGCGGATCCAGAAAATTTCGAATTTTTGCCTTTGTCGCTAGGCGGGCGGGGTAAGATGGTCGTATGTTGGGAAGTGAAAGTTGTTTCTAGGGCAGTTTGATGTGCTAATTACGGGGCTTATCTCGAAAACCCGAAAAATTTGAAGTCTGAGCCCTGAGGGCGGATTTTGTGCAAAAAATCCCGAAAATTTTGCGCCAACAGTTTGATCTGACTTCCGGCAGGGTCCCAGTAGCCGAAAAAAATTCCAGCGATAGCTGAGACTAATAGCTATGTCGCTGTGGAGCCGGATTTTTGAATTTCGATCTAGTTTTCCAGAAAAAAATTCCGGAAAATTTGGAGTTTTTTCGGAAATTTCGGAAAATCTCGAATAGCTAAAATACGAAATACGACAGCAAGATACGAAAGGTGGTTCTAGGGTATGTCAGGCATGCTGAATCAGAATCCGTTGTCAAAATCCAGAAATTCCGTCATCTTGATGGTGAAAAATGGAAATTTCGGAAAATCGGGAATAACTATCGACCGGTCGATAAATCGACTATGGTGTAACGGGATGTTTTTCATTACTCGAGGTGTGGATACGAATGGAATTTGAGTTTTTTTCACTCCGATGCCCTGAAGGCTCAAACTGCTATATCGCCCTGGGGGCATGTTATGCAAATTTCGAAAATCCGCGAAGTTCCGTCACAGATAGTTGATGAACATGATGCAAAGAACTCGGAAACTTTTCTCTGTAAGAAAAAAGTTACAGGCGATCCAAAATCGAAAAATTTCATTTTCAACAGGGCGCAGCTCGCGCGAAAAGCAAAATTTCAACTATCCGCTGATGCCAAAAGTCTTAGAATTTTGTGTAGCAACTTCACTAAAAATTTTTTTCCGATAACTCAACGTTGAATAGTTTTCGGATATGTTTCTTATATGTATCTTCGACAAGCCCCCGCTTCGCGGGGCCTTGACGTCGCTGTGCGCGCAAAGGTTGCCCAACATGAAGTTGACTTGATCGCGTGCACTACAGTTGATCGTCCAGGCCACGCTTCGCGTGGCCAACAACGCGCTGGCGCGCGTTATACTTACTCAAGCTCGACAGTTATGGTCAGGTAAAGGCCGCGCGCCAGCGCTACCTGTCGTCAGCTAAAGGCTGTGCGCCAGCGCTACCTTCCATAAGTTTACTTTGTAGTCATTAACCGGCTCTTGGTGAAAAGCCTCCCCGCCACGTCAAGGCGGCCGGTCTTCGGGGAAGTGGTGTTATTTTTTTTTGGAAAAAATAACAAAACCTTTGCCCTTCTCTTTTTATGAATTTCAATTACTGCTCATTTCCCAGCAGGTTTCTGAGGGTATTTCGACTTCTGATTCTCGTAAATTTTATCGAGATCGCGCAGGAACTCTGTCACTCGCCCGTATACCACATTATCAATCTCGTCTGTATCGACGTGAGAGTAGATGTGGATATCTGCAACTCTTCTTGTGCGACTAAGCGCCACATACGTCTGGCCATGACTGAAGACTGGATCGTCTAAGTACAAACCGACGATGTTCAAAGTTTGACCTTGCGCACGATTAATCGACATCGCAAAGGCCAACTGCAACGGGAACTGATACCGCGTAAAGCGGATTCCAGCTTTAGATTGCTTTGGAGGTCGGTAGTCGAACCGACTCCGAGCGATCAGGGCGGTTTGCCCAAGATTGCCGTTCGGGTCAATCTTTTGACACTCAATGAGGTCGTTGTTCAAGGCAACTACGCGCATTCTTGTTCCGTTCGAAAAGCCTGTTCGAACGGATAAGTTTTGCGCAAAACGACATCAACTCCAACTTTGAGTTTGAGTTCTCCGGGAGGCATATTGCCGTCGTTTACTTTGCAAATCTGTTCTTGCATTGCTTCGATGACAGTATGGTCAAAGTTACTGACATCCTCGGGATTCGGGGTATTTACCGAGACGTATACATGTTCTTTACCGGGGAAACGGTCAAGAATTTCTGTGTTCAGGTTCATTACAGTCTGAACCCTCGGAGCTAAGATAGCCATTGCCGTCGGTCTATCTTGGAGACCCAACTGGAGGTGACTCCGAGGGAACACAGCCTCGATCATGTCTTGAGGACTTGTGTGGTTGTGTATCTCTGGATGAAGCTTATGCCTCAGAGATATCAAGGACAATGTTGAACTGAAGTTAGTCCCGGAGCCAATCTCACTGAGAAACTGTCTGTAGCTCCGTTCATCGGCTCTTGTTCTGTGATTTTGTTTCAGTACGATGTACTGCATCTCAGAAGCCTTTGAAATTAAGGACTTTGTCCACTCTTGACCAATCGATAGATCAGGGCAGACTGGCAATATCTGCTGATAATCGCCGCCATACACGATAACTAATTGACGGTCAATGTCGCCCGCTTTTCGAACGTGACGTAAGAGCCGTTGCAAATAGTTATAAAGATCGACGTTAAGCTGGCTTGATTCGTCGATGATCAATAAGCCAAGTTCACGAAGACGTTGGGCTTTTTGATCTTCGTACTTTAGTGTCGGAAGAGTATCCGAGTCAAGATTAATCGGGGCCCATATCAGGTTGTGAAGAGTCTGCCCGGTCTTAATTAAGTTCGCAGCAACGCCAGTTGTGGCAGTTGCTGCGTGCTTGATGCCCTGCTCTTGACAATAGTCAATGAGCTCATTGTAAAGGGTTGTTTTCCCTGTTCCGCCTGCTCCATGTAAGAAGAATTGACGGTGTGGAATGGCTTTGTTTTGAGGCGCCAATTCCAATGCTTTCGTTATCATGTCGAATGCGTATTGCTGATCATCTCCAAAGCTGACCTTAGGCTTTTTAGGCTCAGCAGGACGATCAGTGCTGTCGAACTCACCGATAAATAAGTCCTCGTTCTCACCGTGAACGTCTGGATCGTAAGTTCCAGTTAGTGGTGGTAAATTGAACGACTCGTACTTCCCACCCATGTTGGAGAGGTAATAACTGAGAAGTTCCAAAGCTCTACGCTCCTGCCTTTGCCTAATTTCATCATCCGGCATATTGGGTCTGTGGAACGGAGGCATCAACATGTGGATCTTGTAGTCGTTCCACAGTTGAAGCTGGTCTTCAATAAGTTCACCTGCTTCAATTAGTACTTGGGCAAACAAAAACACAAAGTGTTTACATGTGCGGCCCCGGGCTTGATCAAGAGCATGTCGCCAGAGGACATCTGAATGGAAGAGTCCTCGAGCTTGTGCAGCTTCCAAGAACGTGGCAAAGATCTGGTCTTCGTGCGTTCGGCACTCTTCGAAGCTCTTGAGGCATGGAACGGTCAGAATAATTGATCTCAAGGCCAATAACTCCTTGTTCTTCACCGAGACTTCGCGCAATTGCACGATCTTTTTCATTTGTTTTTTGTACTTTCTGTACGTCTTTGTCTTGTAGTCGTACGCATAGGTTCTGTTCAATTCAACGTACGTCAGATCAGCTGTTTCTTCAGCGTTTTCTGCGCAGTACTCAAAGTATGCGGTCAACCGGGAATACACATTAGGATTCAGGTTGCTGACTCTTTGTGCTATGTTTTCGATAGGCTCTCCGTCAGCCGCGTAAACATGGCTGTCTCCGGGCATGTGAATGCCAATTTGCTCCACAATGTGGGAGACGAAGACAGGCCCGAAGCTGAAAATGCGAAGGTGAGCTTCTTGGGGCGTGATGTAATTTGCGCCCATGTAGAATTGGGGCTCATGAATATCCACGTTCTTAGTCTTTGGATTTATTTCAATGCCATATACCTTCTCGGTATTATTCTTTTTCTCGGGGTCAATCTCATTCTCTTCGAACGGGTGGTCCTCGCCGAGCTTTGCTTGTCTTTCTTTTTCAAGTTCCTTTTCTTTCTGCTTCTGAGCTTCGAGAGCTTCAAATTCAGAAATGACTTGAACGATAGCTTGATCATTCCCCTTTAAGATATACTTTAATACGTATGCGGGGGTGCCGTTGGTGCACACAGCCTCAACGTTTGAGTGACCGTCCCACCATGTGAGCAAAGTCTTGTTGTATGGTACAACATGACGGTCGTTGTAGACGCGTTGAACGCTGTCCACCATTTTACTTCCGGAATGGACTGGGGCTGTGACGTCCTTTCCACGCTCCAACCTTTGATAGGCCACATATCCAGGGCCAATTCTGGTTTCCGGAACAATTTCCTGAGGATAGCGCCGGGTGCACTTTCCGTTTTTGTCCCGGCACAGATCGGTTTCTTTGCAGTCATGGATCATGTACCGAAGAACCTTGTCATGAACTTCAGCATCGGCGACGGGGTCTGGAAATCGGGCCGATATAAATTCGTCGACAACGTGGGCCGACATTTCTTTGTGCTCAGTCCAGAGGAGCAAGTGAACATGTGGATTTCCTCTTTTCTGGAATTCCAAAGACATGTAGTAGCCTAGGCATTGCCCAAACCACCCTTGTTGTCCTTTCTGCGGAGGCGCGATACGCCTCATGAGTTCGACAACCTTTTGCCGAAAAACTCGGTTTAGAATGTCGTATGCATTCTTCGGCTCAATTCCTTTATTTCCGCATAGATGGAGGAAGTCGGGCCATTCTGAGTTTGCAGTCAACGTTATGAAGAAACTGGGCGAACCCAATGTCTGAGCCATTGCTACACAGTTCGAATACTGTCGCTGATAATAGCGACGGCTGTATCGGTGACCTGGAGGCATCCTGGTCAGCTTACCGAGCTGATAGCCTTTGGACTTCTGCTTGAGAAGTTCCGAAAAGTTTTCGCGGACATATTTAGCGTCGACGCGTCGCTTGGGTATGACGTTTTTCTCGTAGTAATCAAAGACCTGTTCTTCGATTCCCAAGGCTTTTTGGCAGATCCAGCGGCCACCGAGTTTATAGTGGTTATAAATTCGATGAACTCCCCGATCTCGAGGTCTTCGCTGAAGCCTATACTTGACTTGCATTCGCAAAGAGCACTTCTTTGCCTTTGGCTTTGTTTTCTTGGGAAGAAGATCGTTCTCGTCGGCCGCTTCTTCCAATTCTTCTATGTTAATGTCGTCCTCGTTTTCTTTCAACCCGGCTGGAAGCGGATTCAACGCGACATTCACCTCAAAAGGCACGAACTCATCGTCATCTCCAGGCCGAGGCTCTGGGAGTATGTCATCTTCACCAACATCTCGCAATGGAAGATGTCGGTGGAAGTATGGCTCGCCATGTATAAACAGAAGAGGGTAAAGAAAGGCGTCAAGTTCAGGCATATAAGCCTTGTACTTCGCCGATTGGTGACCTCGACTGAACACAACCATACCGGGCGGAAGCTTAACATTACCGTTCTCATCGTTTATATAAACAACGGCATGTTCCGCAACTTCGGGTTTATTGATCTGCCTTTCGTGAAGGTCCTTAGGAAGCAACTGTTGCCTTAATTCAGGACTCAGATCTTTTGCATCAACAATTTTCAGCAAGTAATTTTCACTTGGTTTGCCTTCCAAACCAAGCAGCTGTTGCCGTTCAATAATTGTATAATACATTTGCGCCAAGTCGTTGTACTGGCGAATGTAATTATAGAAGAACGCGGTTAACGCATCAAACGCAGCTTTATGTGACATGTTTGTGTACATTTTTGTCTTTTTTAATTGATCACAAACGTCATCGTCTGTTAGATCCGGGGCAAATCTCAGCAACTGCCCAAGAAGAAGCGTATTCGAGATTCCTTCCGGGTTAGAGACGTGATACGTCGTTTGTCCATTAATATTAACCACTGGCGCTCCGCGTCCAGGTGGATCGGACTGGTGTACAGTTTGTGCCCCAAATGCGTACATTTGGTTTAATCTGGGGCTCTCATCTCGATAACAGAGGTAGTACTCCTTGGGAAGAGGTTTCAGGGGGAAACTCCCTTCTCCAAGAACCAAATTTTGTTGAAACTCAGGCATGTCTCGAAGGTCTGGCATGACCACTTGGCCGTGTTTACAGCATTCTGAAGAAGTCTCTCCAGAAAGCAACCATGCCTGACAATGCGGGCAATCGTAGAAAAGACCCACGTGATATGGGTGCCGATAATAATAGCCGCTACTGTGAGAGGCCTGACAGTGCATGGTGGTCCGCCCTTTCTTGGAAGACTTTGACCGTTTTAGTTCTTCTTTTTGAACATAGTCCTTTTGACTCCTCCGTACCATGCCCTTTGTCTGGGTCCTTGGAGTGAATGGAGGAGGAGTTGGAGGCCTTGGTGCAGGCTGCGTTTTCGCAACTGCCATTCTTGGAGGTGCCGGCGGACTGTCGGCCTTAGTTTCATTTTCAAAGTCTAGGCAAAGCTGATGATAAACGTTATCAGTCGCAGAGCTGCAAAAGATTGAATTCAAAATTCGATTGGAATAATTTGCTGCTCGGCCATGTGGCCAACGTTGCACCTGGTTTGGTGGCATTCCATTTGAGCGCAAGTAGACCTCTGCATTAGAAACCGCGTAATTTGCAGTAAAGTTGCCGTCATCCGTCCAGTAGTACTGACTGGAACTCGACGTAACAAAGATTTGGGCTTGCGGATTTGCGCCGGTTTGAGGACAGAAAACGTTCTCATAAACTTTTTGAAACATGTGTTCAAAGTCGCGGGCATTGATCCCGGT